CTAAAACATTCCCAGTTTATTCCCAAGTTTCTCAGGCAAAAAGAAGTAATACTTTCAGAGCACAAACATGTAGATGGTTAGATATTGCAGCCAATTTAGAAATAGCACTGACTGACTCCTTTTCTCTGCTTTCCTTTTCTTTTTTTTAAGCAGGGCCAGGTTTCATTCTTTTCTGCATTCACATGCTCACAAATATACTTCCCTTGAACTGTCAGAAAGCATCAGATTGCTTGATCTGCATGATAAATTTTAAAATCTTTTCAGAAACACAAAGACATTAGCTTCAGGCATTATGATTTCATCATCACCACCATAAACAAGTATAAAGCCAACCAATCTCTGGCATTCAACCAAAGCCAAAAGATATGGTACTTTGAAAATGTTTGGTAGCATTGTAATTATCTAAATTCATTTGGATCCTTTTTCCAATCGTGATACTTTGCAGTTGGGCAATCATTTATTTACTGCCATGACCACTGCTAGATGACTCCAAAATAAAAATGTGACTCTTACAGAGAGATTTATAAAATGCAAATACTCTAACAATATTTGTAAACAAATCACACTGTCAGATGGAAACATTTTAGTAACAGAAGTAAAGATGATATTTTTAATATTTAATGGCAACTTTAATTCTTGTGCTCTTTGTGAAAATAACTACAATATCAATTCCACCCATGAACATCCTGAGTGAATAACAGATGTGAGAAAGTGGAAGGTTTTCCATGATGCATTTCAGATCTCACGAGAATGCATCCTTATTCCTTGAATGATGTGAGAAACAATACCATTCATACCACCAAGACTACTTTCATATTTAGTTTTTTATGAAGCTACCTGAGAGTTCAAACCACAAGGAATAAATGTTTTTTCTAGATTCACTATATATTGATATATAAAATTTTGTTTGAAATTTGATCCAATTTGGCTTTTAAGTTTAAAGCCAAAATTACGTTTTCAAGACCTTAAAACAAATAAGCAAATGTAAAAGCCAATTCTGTACCTAGCCAGCAAATGGAATATAATTACTCCATTCAATCAGAAGCTGTGACTAAGTGACTCTAATCGAAATGCAAGGTAAGTGGATTTCTGAGGACTTGAATTATTGAACAAGTAAAGGAGAGACCTGGAGCTCAGAGAATGGAAAGATACCATTATCTTTTTTTTTCCCCAGGGAGTCCAGGATGCCCATTCACCCCTCTGGCAAAAGTGGAATGTACCAAAGATTTTATTTTTAAAGTAAATGAAATAACCCTCTATTTGTTAGCTTCTATTAAAGAAGCGCGCTGCATACTTCCTCTCACCCTTTCTTCATTGTAACATTTTCACCTCACACAGGCAGCATTATGTCACCAAGACAAACCGATTTCCTTCATGTAAATGCAGAACAACATGTTCGCTGTAAGGTATCTCCATCAATGTCAGTGACATACAAGGAAAGCCTCAACAGTCTGCCCTGTCACTTACAGAGAGGGGAAGGCAAATTGTTTATTCACACTCAATTAAATTCTCTGGCCACTATTGCTTTAGCTCATTGAATTTATTCATAAACTTGTCACTGGCACTATATTACAGCCTGGAGATATCAGCACTTTCAGCAGAAACCAACTGAAAAAAAGGCAAAAGGAGATAATGTGCCAACTACCTTTACCAAAAGATAGACTCATTCGTACTATTTCTAAGAGGAGCTGGCACAAAAGACAGAGGCACGCCTTTCACTCGATGCCCTGGGTCCTCTACTTGGCAGTCGGTGGCACACCAGACCAGCAGAGACCCTGGAGATCTGCGGTGAAGTCCTCTGCTGCTGGCTCCCATTGGGCTTCTTGCCAAGTTACTCTCTCTGGACCCCACTCCCCACATCTGTAAAATTCGAGAACCAGCCTAGATTTTCTCAAAGGCCCTACTAGTTCTAACATTCTTTGAATTCAAAATGAGTTTGATGCTTTAATGTTGCTTGTCTTTGTTAGACACAGAACATCAGATCTTCTCAAAACGTTAAAGGGGTTTCCTGTCTCAATTTGCCCAACTTTATAAAATAATTAATAACGTTTTATATTGGAGATCAGGCCAAAGAGAGCGCAAAGTAACAGAAATCCCCCTTCTTTCCATCTATTCTTCCTCCCTCTTCCTCCCTCCTGTGTATCCCACACCATGGTTCTGGTCGTACATCCCATTACGAGCTGCTCAGTGATGTCTGTCTCCTTTTCCTCACAGAGGAGCATCAACAAACGGTTCCCTCGGAGCCCTTGAAAATTCACAGAGAAATGCTCTTTAATAGCAGTGCTGGAAAAAGCTAATCAAACTCTGCAGCTGTTTTCTTTGCAGGCCCATCTTCTCCTCTGTACACAGATGTCTCTTTCTCCACAGACTCTCATAATGGTGATGAAACAGAAAAGTTATGACCAGATGTCAAAAACAGTTATCAAATAGTTCATTTTATCGAACTAAAGCCTCTCTCCATTCCAACTTTTGTCCTTTCCGGGAACTGGTCAGGTACTTATCACAAGCACCTGACCTATAATTTTTAAAAACTTCCAGAACATCATTTTCATCGGGAAAGAATCTTGAGCCACAATTGTAAGACCTGATGGTGTTTATAAGAACATTATAGCTACTTTGTGAACTCACAAGCTGTAGAAATCAATAGGCATCTTGCATAGAAGTCTTGCAATTGATTTTTCCAGGAGAGTCAATTTGTAACTTTAGGAGAGGCAGAGACACTGAGAGGATGTAAGCACGCTGGAGGTTAAAAAAAATCACAAGCACATGGAAAAAGCCGCACTGCACTAGATGAGGTCCTGTCTCAAAGAAGTAGGGTCTTCGGTAACCATGTGGCTCAGGAGTGGCTGAAGGAAAGTACATAAAAAAGACCAGGCAGCCCCTGCAGTGCTCCGGGGCTTGGAGAGGGAAAGCTGTTCAAGGTAGAAGGGAAATATATTTCCTAGAGTGTTCCTGGCAGCTCGAGTTTAAACGTATACTGTTGCTTTTCTAAGGATAATAACAGCTAGTGAGCTCATTCTCTCCAGTTTTTAAAAATTGTCTGAAATTATAAAAACAATGCATTATGCACTTGAAATTCCCCAAGAGCATAGATTTCAAGTGTTCTCATGACCACCACCACCACCACCAAAAAAAGAAAGAAGAAAAAGAAAAAAAGAAAACACAAACAAACAAACAAAACCTCAATTAACTGTATGAGGTGATGAGGTGAGGCACGTGCTAATTAGCTTCACTGTGAAAATCATATCACAATGCAGTCATACATCAAAACATCATGTTGAACACCTTAAATATGTACAATTTTTATGTGTCAATAAAAATGTTAAAATAGAGAACTGTCTAAACTTAATCTATTCACTCAGTAAAGAGGTCAAAGTATCATTCAGTGCTCAGGACTCCTCTAAGCACAGGTGACAGCAAGGTGTGTGCCCTCACTGAGAGGAAGGGGTGGAAAGGCTACGTCTCAAACAAAGCTTACCCCCCATAAATACTACCCCGACTGGCAACAGCCTTTCCACGTAACTAGAGACTCTTGCTCTCAACAGCTATTGTTTTCTCTTTCCTCCCAAGTGTTCTCTTATTTCCTCCTCATCTTATTATGCTTTCTGCACATTCATAAAAATGAGTTCTACTTTAGTCAAGAGTTAAATAATACGAAGGGTAAATATTCTTATAAATTATACTATTTTTATTCTAAATATGTCTAACATTGATGAAAGAGAATTCATGAATACCAAGCAAATTTCTGAACTTTGGGGGTTGGGGAAAAGAGAGTTAAAAGTGGAATTTTAGGGGTCAGATACACTGTGTAAATGGTAGTGTGGATTTTAAAAGTCTGTTTCGGTGTGTTAAAAATCCCCAAACACAAATGCTGAAAAATAACGCTAGGAAAAAATAAACTTTTATGAGAGGAGGTACAAAACTCTTGTTCTGTATAATTTTTACCTTTACTTATGGGACACAGCTTCAAAATGAAGTTTATACCCATCATCTGATAAGGCTGATTTTGTGGGGCTTTTATTCACCTTGTTAATTTTTGCTTTGTGTGGTGTTAACTCTTCTAAAATTATTTTGAAGGCCACTTTTCACCTAATGATTGGGGTTGAGTAGATGTGGAGATGTTGGTAAAAATTTGTCTCTTTCAAAATCTTTTTCTGTGTCAGGAATATAATTAAAATAGCTAGAATTTGAAGTCAGAACATTTCACACTAAGCTAAATGATGTTGTTCACATTAACTGCTTAGGAGTAATATACACATGTAGAAAGCTACAGTCACTGTAGCGCCTGAACCTGGCCTTGAGTTTGAGGTTTACCAGTGTCTAAACATCTATAGAATTTCAGGGACTTCAAGGCTTTGATTTCAGTGCACGATTCTCTGGAAAACAAACATCATTTTCTCACCTAGGAAGTAAATCTCTTCTACTCAGTACTGCAAGCATTCCACAACTCATTAGCCAGTATAGAAGTTCAAAATATCTCAATCGATTAGATTTTTAAAAGAATTTACTTATTTACTTTTATAGAGAGAGGAAGGGAGAGAGAAAGAAAGGGAAAGAAACATCAATATGCAAGAGATACCTTGATTGGTTATCTCTTGCACACACCTAACCAGGGACGTGGCCTGCAACCCAGACGTGTGCCCTGATAGGAAATCAAACCAGTAACTTTTGAGTTTACTAAGGCACACGAGCCAAGGACTTGATTAGATTTTTTAAAAATGGATTTGTTTCAAAAAATTGAAGATACATACGAAATCATTTTCAATTTCTACCTGCTTACCTTCGAGTGAACTCATTTTTGCCTCTCATACTCATGCCATAGAGATGAGCAGAAGTAGACTGCTGAGATAATTAACCAAAACGATACCGTGTTTTGCAAATAAGTCTGAACATTTCAAACTCTAGAGCAGGTATAACCCAGCAGATAAACACAGAAACTCTAGGAGTTGACCACACAACACATTTGGAGCCCGACCTGAAACACGGCTTCAGACACTCACCGGTGAAATGATTGGAAGTGGATGGATCGGCACTATCAACACTGTCAGCACTGTCACAGCTGAAAACTTCATCATCTGATTCCTGCGCAGAGGAAGGGAGTGAGGAGCCGTCAACTGCTTCACACCTCCCCCTTAAAATTCCACTCATAGCTGCGGCGCTGTCACATGTACCTGTAACAGAACATGGACAACGGCGTGTTTTAGTATCTGACCACCAACTGCATAGCCGAGGATTCCAAATTGCTTTGGGGAGCTGTGATTTTTTAATGACATCTACCATATTATCACATCCATGCAAAAATTATACTTTCCATAATGTCTGAAATCACTGAAAACAATTCTACCTTGATTGTTATTTGCATCCTCATCTGACAACGGTATTTCATAAGAACAAGTCAAAATTAACAATGTGGAATCAGAGAGTTATATCAAGAAATGTGTTTCAGTGTTTTCAAACATAGAAACAGGAGTCAAATGCATGTATCTGATTTGTTCTGGTAAACGGTGTGCTCTCTTTGACAGGGCCAGACTTCAGAACAAAACAGATCGCTCTCTTGCATGCTGTCATGCCCAGGGCATACTGATTAGGGCACGTCTATCTTGCTTGGAGTTTCTTTTTTCTCACTGCAAAGGCATCTACTTTCCTGGGCCTCTTTGTCCATCAAAAATAAAATTGGTTGCTAGGAATGGCTGTACCTGCAGAATTTAGATGCCTCATGATGTTCCCAGGCAATTAAGCAGAGATATAGGGAATACTTGTGTCCTATGTCAGGGAGGCTGGCTCAGTTCATTTTATATAGGGTAAGCCACAGTCCCTAAATATTTTACCAGGTAAAATATTCAATTTAAGACTTCACTCTCTGTATCAACACAGTCAGGGAAAGCCAGTCAGAGGCAGTCTGATGCATTTTAAAAAATTTGTTAATGTCAGTTTAGATGAGTCACTAAACCTCTGAGAGTAATAATTTATTCATAGCTATAGAGTAGCTTTAAGATGATCAGCAGTTGCAAACACAAATTCCTACAAATGCAGGTAACTTCAATGAGGAAAGAGTGTCAAATGTAATATAATCCCGCAGTCATCTTAGTGTTCTCTTTCATCTACTGTTATTTGTAACAAAGGTATAAAGAAAGATTTCTCTACCCTAAGGGAAATGATAGCACAGGCACAACAAAAAACGGTCTCACAGCCAAGGAGACAGCAGGCTGTACGTCGTATGATCTGTGGAGAACAAGAGATGCACGCCGAGACCGAAGGGCGGACCTGCTGCTCGAGTCTGGGTCGCTCCACTCCATGCCTTCCCGGTTTGATCTCTAAAGTCTGACCAACGCCCCATTCACATGCAGAAGCAGTCTTTACATCCTCAGGTTTCACAGTCACCCTCTCCTGCTCCCTTGCTCATTTTGTTTATAAAATTAAAGGAACAATTTTTAGATTACATTATTTTGTTTCTTTGTATTGACTTTATTGGGGTGACATTGCTGTACAATTCTATGACACATCACCTGTATATTGTATTGTGTGTTCACCACCCCAAGTCAAGTCTCCTTTTGTCACCATTTATTCTTCCTTTACCCGCTTCTACCTCCGCCCTTCCCTCTTTCCCTCTGGTAATCACGATGCTATTGTCTCTGTCTATGAGTTGGGTGTTTTCAGGTTTGTTTGTTTTGCTTAATCCCTTCACTTTGTTCACTCAGACCTGCAACCCTACTGCCCTCTGACAGCTGTCAGTCTGTTCTATTTAAAGCTCAACCTGGACTGGCTCTGTAGGATAGACAAAGAATGGTTCAGATCCGTGACTTGGAAGGGATAATAGAGTAAGGATTCAAAACACTCCATTAGCCCAACACAACCCCAAAACACCTTTTAGAGATACTTCAGTTGGGAGAACAAAGTTATTTTACAAAGGATACCTGCACAATATATGCTAGTAAGAAGAGATGATGTCAGCCATCAAATGTCAGTATGGCAGTCCTAGCTGTGCCCACCTTCCTGTTAGTAAGAAACAAGTCTAACGAGACAGACTTTCTTTACAAAGTAGCAGCAGCCTTGGGACAGACCATTTTTTTTTTTTTTTTTAATTTATTGAGTTATTTTTCAAGTACAGTTTTCTTTTGTCAGTTTCTCCCATCCCAACCCCCCCCATGCCTCTCAGTGACCGAGGAGTCTCTTTCAATTGTGGTAGCTACTTTTCCATGGGACATATTTGTTCTGGATCCTTCTGCTGACTGGCTTCTTCTGCTTCTGTACTTTCTGCTTCCTCATATCCGCAGCTGGCATATGGTTTTAGATTCTGACAGACCTGCCCCTACCTCAGTGGTTCTGAACGTCTCAACTCAGAATGCCAACTCAGAATGCCAACATTTCCATGTCTCTTGATCTTTCACTGTATCTCAGTTCAGATGGTTGAAAAATGTCATTCAGTCATTCTGCCATTTAATAGAAAGAAATTTGTTCATCTGCTGCCTTTTGTTTAAGAGCCATTTATTATTTATTCGGTAAACATCTATTGAGCTTTCATCATGTATCAGTGACTATTTTAGATACTGGAGAATAAAATAACAACACAGAAGAAAAATAACCTTCCTTTTAATGGTGCTCATTTACTTGGTATTGGTTGGTAAAGGCATAAGCAAATAATAAGCAGGTAAGTAAATTGAATATATAGCATGTCATATGGAGATCAATGTTACAGAGAAAAATAAGCAATTAAGTGGTACAGTGACTACAAGTTTGGCTGATAGAGAACATTCGCTTATAATTGATTGATGAGCTAATGTGACTGTGAGAAAGTAGCATAAAGACCTGGAGGGGTGGGGAGTGGCAATTTTGACATCTGGGGGAAAAACAGTCCAGGCAAAAGGAATAGTGTGTGCCAAGGCCCTGGGCTGGGCACAGTAGGTGATGAGGTTAGCCAGGTATTGCACCATATTGTGTAGAGCTGGTGAAGACTGTGCCTATTGCTCTGGTGAGAGACGGCCACACTATAGGGCTTATGTAGTAGTGACAGACCTGGTTTATATTTTTAAAGGAGTCTCATTATCCTGTCATTTCATTAAAAAAACAGAGGGGTTATAGTAAAGGGAAAGGTAGCTATGAGAGGAGAACAAAAAGATTCAGAATGAAGAAAGATTCTTAAAACTTAGTGGCTCAGACGATCAGTGTAAGTTAGAAAACCAGAGGAGTCAGATAGCTAGAGAGGTCCCTAGTTTTTTTTTGTTGTTTGCTTGTTTTTTTTTTTGTTTTTGTTTTTTAGGGGGAAGAATTTAGAGAGAAGTTAGAAGGATATGGAAAATCAAAGAGCTTCCCAAAGCAATGTGGTTATTTAATTTCACCTAGAACTACCTCTGTCTCTAGATTTACCAATTATTTTCAACAGTGGAAACCACCTTGCAGACCAGGTTTCTAATAGGACCAGTTCAGATACATTTTACCACTTTGTGGGATCGCCTTGCAAATAAAATTAACAATGAAAAAGTCAGCTTTTCTTTGTCATGCTAAAAGAATTTTTTTTAATTTGGTAGATAAAAAGGAATATATGGATGGTGACCACTACCAAGGATTTACTTATTTGTGGGAAAATGGAGGCAAAGATTTAATAACTATTTTACCCACCATTACTCCTAAAGTTACTTATTCAAGATTTTTAAAAAGTCAAACACATAATGCTGCCTGCGATTGCTGGGATTATAGGACTCTGATTCTGTATTATCACTGTTTGAAAGCCAGTCTCCAATTTAAATAGTCACTTGGTGACCTAATGTGATCATTATTTAGTTGAAGAAACTTTATTTTCAAGTGATTTCAGAAAGTTTTAGAAGATTTGCTTGTAAAGCCTGAGAGCTCTTGACAAGTTTTAAACAAATGTTGATATACCTTGTTTATTAGTTATAGAAAACTATTTAGATTTATTCCTTAACTGTTATGAAATTCATGTTAATAATTTGTGCATGACTTTATTCACATTTATGCTTTTGGTTTCTTTTTTAATTTAAAAAATTATTGTTGTTCAATTATAGTTGTCCCCATTTTTCCCCATTGCTCACCCCTGTCCTATCCACCTCTCCATTGAATCCTCCCCCCACCCCCATTATCTTTGTCCACGGGTCCTTTACACATGTTCCCTGACTTGAACCTCTTCCCCTTCCTTTGCCCCATTATCCCCCTCCTTTCTCCCCTCTGGTCACTGTCAGTTTGTTCTTTATTTCCATGTCTCTTGTTTTCTATTTTGCTTGTTTGTTTGCTGTGTCCATTAGATTCCACTTATAGGTGAGATCATGTGGTATTTGTCTTTCACCGCCTGCCTTGTTTCACTTGGCATAATGCTCTCCAGTTCAATCCATGCTGTCATGAAGGGTATGAGTTCCTTTTTTCCCACTGCTGCATAGAATTCCATTGTGTAAATGTACCAGTCTTTTGATCCACTCATTTACTGATGGGCACTTGGCTATCATAAATTGTGCTGCTGTGAATATTGGGGTACACAGGTTCTTTTGAATTGATGTTTCAGGGTTTTTAGGGTATAATCCCAGCAGTGGAATTGCTGGGTCAAAAGGCATAGACGACACAATTTTTTTTCTGTTTGTTTGACTTTTTCCCCCCTTAAAAATTTTTTTAATTGTTTGAGTACAGTTTTCTGCCTTTTACGTCCATCTCAGCCCTACCCCCCAGCCCTCCCCACCTCCCTCCGATTTCCACCCCGCCTTGTTTTTGTCCATGTGTCCTTTATGCTTTTAGTTTCTGATGGCCTTGAAGAATCTCATGGTAGGTCATTAAAGAAAGAATGAACTGTATGATTAGATATTTAAGTAATCACAAAGAAAAGAATAGGGGAAAAAGATCCCAAAGCATAACAGACACTTGTCAAAAGAGAGACTCACCTTCCTTTGTTTTTGCCAATATGATCCCACTGCAGTGTACTCCAGGTGTAGTGCTAAAATTGCAGTGTTACAAGCATTCCCATGGTGACAGACAGTGAGATCATGCAGGAAAAACTAAATTGTGAGAGATTAAGTTGCTATCCCTATTCAGATATCTGCAGTAGTAGGTGAGAAGAAAGAGCGAATGAGGCAGAAAAGTTTCTCTAAATGCCCTTAATTGAGGTTGTCCCAATCAGCATTTTAAGTGCAAGCAATCCTAAGCATTATTAAGAGTCACCCTATAAAACAGA